TGGCTATGTACTGTGCGGGCTTTTGCTGTAACGGCTGGTAGGGGCCTATATAAGATCTTCCCTAAAGAGGCTCGGGGTCTTGTCTGCCCAATCGGACCTGTGTGTCTGTGTGGGAGCTTGACCCTGGCTTGCCAGCTCAATAAACTCTGCTTTGTTGATTGCATTCACGCGTGACTCTCTGTCTCTCGGAGGAATAGGATTCTCGGACCCTAACAGCCCAGGCAGGGGTGTCCTGTTAGCCTCTCCTGGGTTTCCGCACCAGATGTAAGGAACCGCCGAAAACAAAGACCGCACCACTGTAGAAAGGAAAGGTTTGTTGGGGCACATACTGCTGGGCTGACTCTGGGGTTCATAGTGCAGCAGCTCGACTAGATTGGGTAGTGGGTTTTATAGGAGGGGCCATCAGGCAGAGGAGGGAGGGTATCCTTCCTAAAGAACGGCAAAGCCGTTGGTCCCCGTTTGTCAGCGATCACAAGGTGGAATGGGCTGATTATCAGTGATTACTTGAAAAACAGGAAGAGAAGGATGTTTTGCAAGCAGAATTTTGCAAACAGCCATGGGTGGGGGGGATCTTGTTGGACTTCCCGCCGGTCCTGTGGGGGTCAAGGACCTATCACAATGTTGCAACCTCCTAGCAAGAGGCTAACTTCCAGGTCTGCTTTTGTCCTCCCCGCTTGCTTGCTTCTGCAGTCTGAGGCATAAAAACCCCCGCAGCCCTGAACTGCAGGCCAGTGCCATTTTTGGAGAGATCCAGGGTGCTGGCCCGCTAGGGTAATAAATCTTCCTTTCCTCCAAACACCTGGGTTTGAGTCTTATTCTCGCTGGTCCTACAATCAACAAGGCATGCAGGAGGAGGCGAGGGCTGTGGGTCAAGCTGGCCCACCCTGAGAAGCCAGCCCAGCCCTGGGGCGGAGGAGCAGTGGAGACTTCGGTCCTCCAAGTTTCCTAGAGAGGCCGCGTAGGGCCGGAGCGGCGAAGCGCATGCGCGACCCTGGTGGCCGAAGGCAGAGGCAGCGGAGTGGGGCGCCGTCTGGGAAGCGGGAGGCGGTGAGTGGCCCGGTGGCGGGAGGCTCGGCGGCGCGAGACGGTGAGTGGCTTGGCGGCGGGCGCGGTGTGCTGTGGCGTCTGTAGGGTGGCGGCGGGCGAAGCTGGAGGCCGCGTTCCGGGCTCGGGGCCTTGTGATCCTGCCCCGCCAGGAAGGGTTTCGGGAACCGCTTTGCCACCAGGTCTCGGGCGGAGAGAAGGTGGAGTCGGTGTTTCGGCCTCTCACCCGCTTGTGCAGATATCCGCCATTCAGTGGAGCCCGGGAGAGCGCGGGTGAGCGGAGAAGCGGCGGGTCGGGAATTTCGGTGACGTTACCGGCGCGCGGGTTGCGCCCCCACGCCCGCAGCCCTGTGGGGATTATGCTTTTAAGAAACTTGATCGTATGCCGATGAAACGTGTTTTGATAAAATACGCGCAACGTCTGCCTGCGATACACACAGACGACGTTTTCACCACGGAAGAATGTGCAATTCAGTAGCAGTAGGTAATTAACACCATTGCCCTTTAAAAATCATTATTTTAGGTGCTGGATGTCGAACCCAGGGCCTTGGGCTTGCTAGGCAAGCGCTCCACCACTGAGGTACGCCCAAGTCCGTTTGTTCCTATTTTGGGTTGAATTGGCACTGCCATGGTGACCACACGAATACATTGCCCCCCCCCCCAGGATCATTAAAACGTGTTTGCAGTTTATTTGCCATAGTATACGTTTACATGATACTCTAAATGCTCTACAAGTAGCATTTGTGTAGAAAAATAGTAAAATCTTGTTTGTTAAGATTATTCTTTCAAAATGAAAGAACCAGTATACATAAGGCAGTTTTTTTAAACAAAGGTCCAGCTCTAACCTACAGCTATTGTGCTGCATTCACTGTGTCCTGTGCACATGCATGTCTCTTCACATATTCGGGGATTGAAGAACTAGACGGCTCTTGTATGTTTTCTTAAAGCTGCAGAAAGGCAGGCAAGTTTTGGTTGCAAGAAAAAAAAAATTCTTATGTAAGCTGGGAAGATAGGAATGTTTTGATGATAAACCTCAATATGCACTTAAAAAAAAAAAAGCTGACAAAAGCATGAACAATACTTTTGTCCCATCCGGAAGTTTTCTGGGGCTTCTGGTATCCAGGAAGTATTACTAGTGCATAAACATTGTATGTTGCTTGAGAATAAAGACATAAAGTAAGGTAAAACATACAGGATTTTTGCAGTCGTCAAGATTTTTGTACAAGAAATAATCTGAAAGAGGTTTTGTGAGCATTCCTCTCAGTGTCAGTTGAATCCTTATGCTTTCAACAAGACTGAATTCATGAACTTACTTTTTTCCTCTTCCGGATCTTACACTTCTCTTTCTTTGTTTTATTCTATTACATAGCACCTGTCACTATCAAACATACCATACCATACAGATGTATATGTAAGATATGTATGATACACATATGTGTGTGTATATGTGTCCTCAAGGCAGTGCTTTTTGTCTGTTTTATCCACTACTGTGACCTTAGCACATGTGACACAGTAGATCCTCAATAAATATATGCTAAATTAGTGGAACAGTGGCTCAAATTGCAAGATAAGAAAAAATGAGAGTATTTAATATCTTTTTTAAGACTGATTGCCAAGTTAATCCTTAGCACTTAAAATAGAAACAAATCAAATAAAAATGATACTGACTTAGACCTCTCATTAAAAGAAAACCTTTTATTTTGAATAATTGCAGACATACTGAGTTTGCAAAAAATTACAGAGTACTCTTGTACTCTCTACCTCGTTTGCCTAAAGATAACCATAGCACACTCATCAAAATTAAGAAATTTATATTGGCAGAATCCAATTTAATTAAACTACAGATTTTATTCAAACTTCATCATTTTTCTGTAGAGTTCTTTTTCTGCCCACGATCCAGTCTAGAATCCCTCATTTATTGTCATGTCTCCTTGATCTCCTTTAATCTGTGACAGATGTTAGATCTTTCTGTGTCTTCAGGACTGTGACGTTTTTGAAGTGTCTCGTTGTATGTAATTTTAGAATGTCCCCGAGTTTGATTGTATCTGATGCCTTGTGCTTAAGCCATTTGAGGATGAGGTCGATATCAGGGCTTCACACTTGCAAAGCAGGAGCTCTACCACTCGAGCCACACCTCCAGCTCATTTTGCTGTGGTTATTTTGGAGATGGGGGGGGGGTGTCTCTCAAACTATTTGCCTAGTCTGGCCTCAAACAGAGATCCTTCTGATCTCAGCCTTCCAAGTAGCTAGGATTATTAAGTGTGAGCTACAGGCACCTGACTTATTTTAAGGGTTTAAATATGTACCAAGGTCAATCATTAGTTGTTAATATCTAGAAACTTGTTTGTTTATTATCAATATAAAATATACCCTTACGTACACTCACGCTGGTAGGAAAACACAAGAATAAGAGGCTAGTTAATGGGGATTTTAAAATAAAATTACACCTATGGGTGAAGGAGCAAAATAACAAAAAGAAGAAAATCTTGAAAAATGCCAAGTTCTTGCATGGAAGTTTCTCCCTTCTTTGCAAACCCATTTCTTTGAGAAAATGACACTGGGTTAAGGTGTTCTGCTCTGAGAGGAGAGGCTGGCTCACATGTCTTCTCAGGCATGGGTACTCAAATTGTACTTTAACCTCAACAAGTCGATAAGTGAAGCATTTCCTCTGCCCTCAAAAGGTAGTTGGGACTTGGGAGGAAACCTGCAGCATCAGGATGTCTTCTGAGTGACAAACACAGCCACCTGGCTGGGTAGCTATGCTCACTGTGCTCTGGGTGGTTCTAGGTGACCAGCTTCTCCAGGGGCTACTCCAGCTTTTCCCTTTGCTTCACCATGGGAAGCCCGTGTTCTCTGCAGATACCTACTCTGTGTTGAAGGTACTGCAGACTTGATCTCAACAGAGTAGAACATGTTCCTGGAGTGATGGAGTGTTGTAGGTTCAGAGCCAAAATTACCTTGTCCTCTCAGGCCCTTTAGAAAAGTAGCCTTATACTTTTAACCACTGTGTCTGAGCTAACATTTGTGCCACTACCAGGTAAATCTGGATGGATTGTTAAGTTTTGTTAATGTTTGCTCTACAGTCTGGTGAAAAGCGCACCAACCCTAAAGCTAAGTTTGCTGGGAGATCACATTGGAAACCTACAAGCAAGTTTCCCTGCTTTGCTGTGGGCCACATGCCTAACGCCCCCCCCCCCCCAGTGTATTTGGTGAATGTATTGATCTATGATGTTCTTTGGCTGTAAGAATTCACACAACCTCTTCCTCTTCTGTCATTTAGGGTAACTTGAAGCTGCATTCCTGGACCTTGGTCACCCATGGTTGGCTAAATAAATTATTTCCTATAGAGTTATTACTTTGTATGGACAGTTCAATCCATGCAAAAGATGAGTCTTTGACTCTGTCTGATGCTCAACCACTAATTCTTACGAGAGTGATAGCAGGAGCAGATCTCCCTAAGTCCCGGTTTCTGGTAACTGTATTCTGTCTGGCTAGTTACTAGTTTTTGTTTTTCCAAAAAGGAAGTTTAAACTACTCTTGTGATGTTTTTGAAAGGTGAATCTGTACTGAGGTGGTTTTGTCTCCTGGAAATTCCCAGGACCAGGGTTAGAAATCCTGGGCCACAAATTTATTTTCTTTTTTTCACTGAACTGGGATTGAGCTCAGGGGCTTTTGTTTTGCTCTACCCCCACACCCCACAGCGAACAGTGAACAGACACTTAAACAATGAAGGACAGGAATGTAAAACAGGTCATGTTAATGCGAGGGAACTAGTGGGAGGGGTGGGAAAACAGAGGTTAAAGGAGGGTGAGTATGGTCAGTGTATTTTCTATACATGTATGAATATGGAATATTGAAACATGTCAAAGTCATTTTAAGAAGGGAAAGGGAGAAGAGGGAGAATAATGGAGGGGATAAACCAAACTGGGGTACATTATATGTATATGTAGGAATGTCACAACGAAATCCCCTGTACAACTATTATATGCTAATAAAAATGACAAAGAAAAGAAAAAATCCCTGGACCAGGTTGTATCATACTGCTCAGTGAGAGGTTTTATTGTACCTATGGCTGCTAATCATTTTATAGCCATAGCGACTTTTATAGTGTACTATAATTCTCCTTTTGTTGTCTTTTAATTTTAATTTAATTAATTTATTTTGACACACGATCTCCTGTTGTCTAAGCTAGAGTCAAACTCCTGAATTAAGTGATTCTCCTGTCCAGCCTCCCAAATAGCTGTGACTGTGGGCATATGCCAAAGTACCTGACCTCCTTTTGTTTTCTTAAACAAAAGTTCTTTCTCTTTCTCGTCTTTTTCCGTTTTATCTGAAAAAGATAAACTAGTTTAAATTCTTAACTAGAATTCATTTTTGTGTGCTTTTATTGTTTGTATTTGCCTTGCCAGTTGTCTCAACACAGATTATTGAATATTTTGTTCTTTCCCACTGACTTGTAATAATCCTTCCTCCATCGTCTGTTGTGTTAGTCAGCTGTGTGTTACTATAGCATAATACCTGAAATAGTCAACTTAAAAAGATGAAAAGCATATTTTGTCTCACAGTTTTGGAGGTCTTAGTCCATGGTTCATTGACCCCTGGCCTGTGATGCGTCAGCATATCATGGCTGGGAGCACATGGCAGAAGAAGCTGTTGAATTCATGGGTGCTGGCAAGCAAAAACAGAGGAAGAGAAAGGGGCTAGGGTCCCAATACCCCTTCAAGGGCACACCTTCAGTGATCTGATTTCCACCAAGCTCCACTTCTAAAGGTTCTATCACTTCCCAGTAGCACTACAAACTGGGGACCAAGCCTTCAATACATGGGCCTTTGGAGAACGTTCAAGATGCAAACTGTACACCCAGGAGGATCATGAGTTTGAGGTCAGTGAGGGCTACACAAGGTGACTATGTGTCCAAAAAAAAAAAAAAATCATATAGCTTGTGAGTTCCCCAACTTTATTTTCCAAAATTGCTTGACTATGTTGGTTTCTTGATTTTCATAGGACCAGCTTGTTAATATGTACAAAGAAGTCAACTGATTTTCTGATAAGGAGCATGTTGAATCAGTAGATCACTTTGGGGAGTGTTGCTATCTTGAATATTTAGTCTTCTGATCCATGAACACAGGATGTCTTTTTTTTTTTTTGAACTTAGGGCTTTGCCTTTGCTTGGCAGGTGCTCTACCATTTGAGCCATGACCCCTTCCCTTTTTTGCTTTAATTATTTCTCAGCTGGGATCCTGTGTTGATTTCTTCTAACAGTATTTTGTAGTTTTTAGAGTATGTTTTATGCTTTTGTTGAATTTACTAAATATTTTATTCTTTTTTCTGGTACTATGGTTTGAACTCAGGGCCTACACTTTGAGCCACTCCACCAGCCCTTTTCTGTGATGAGTTTTTTCAAGATAGGGTCTCTCGAACTGTTTGCCTGGGCTGACTTTGAACCACAGTCCTCCTAATCTCTGCCTCCTGTGTAGCTAGGATTGTAGGCATGAACCACTACACCCAGCCTATTTTATTCTTTTTGATGCTGTTGTAAATAGAATTGTTTTCTTAATTTTAGTTTTGGTTTGTGCATTATTACTGTATAGAAATACTACTTTTGCAAGTTGATACTATATTCTCCAATCTTGTTGAACTTATTCTTAGTTCCAGTAGATTTTAGTTGACTGCTTAGGATTTTCTTCTTTTTCTTTTTTCTTTTTCCCTCCCTTCCTTCTTCACTTTTCCTCCCTCCTTCCTGTTCTCTTAATTGATCAGTCTAGAACCTTCCAGTCGGTGTTACATAGAAGAAGTGAGATTGGATATTGTCTGTCCATTTGGGGGCAAGCATAAGTCTTTCACTTTGGGGGGGGTGTATTAGGATTTAAGTTTAGGGTCTTGTGCTTGCTAGGCTGGTGCTCTACCACCAGCCCAGGCAAACTTTTTGCTTTAGTTATTTTTCGAATAGGGTCTTGTTATTATGCCCAGGCTGGCCTTGGACCGTGGTCCTCCCGGTCTCCACCTCCCAAGTAGCTAGGATTACAGATGTGAGCCATGGCACCCAGCTAGCCATGAGGTTTTTGTAGATACATTTTATCAAACAGAAATTACTTTCTATTCTTACCCTTCTGAGTGCTTTTTATCATAACAGTGTTTGATTTTGTCAAAAACTTTTTCTGTTGTCTGTTGACATGACCACATAATTTTTGTTTTTTATTCTGTTGATATATTAACAATCTGTGCATTCTTAGGATAAATTCCACTTGTTTACAGCATATAGTTCTTTTTGTATATTGCTGGATCATGAAGTTTTCCTTTGATTTTTTTTCTAAAAGCTGCCTAGTTAAATATTATACATATAAGTTTGCGATCCATTTTGAATTGATTTTTGTATAGGGTATGACGTTAGGCCAGCTTTTGCTATCTGCCTATGACTGTACAATTGCACCAGTGGTATTTGTTGAGAAGATCATCTTTCCTATTTGAATTGCTTTGTATCTTTATAAAAAATCATTGGGGTATGTCGCCGAAATGGACTACTCTACATGCTTATGTGGCTTAGAGCGCAAGCTCCTTTCTCAGATGGGAAAAAAACAAACATTCAGTGAGAGCCCAAAATGTGCCCCAGGTCACTTCTTATTTAAATGTCATTATCCCGTCTATTTTATACCATGTGGGCACACATTTCAAGAGGTGAGAGGATGCATCCTCAGTCATATAGCTAGCAAGTAGGGAACTGTTTTGGAAACCAAGTCTGACTTAGTTTACATTCTATGCTCGTTCTTTTTTATTTTTTTGAAAGAAGGCCTCTCTGTGGCTTAGGCTGCCCTGAAACTCAAGATCCTGTCCCACTTTCTCGAGTGCTGGGATTATAGGTGTGTACCTGGCTTTGTGCTCTTTCTACTAAGGTCTGCTGTCTTCTGAAAGTGGCTTGAACCCTTGGATACCTTTGTTGTGAAGAATTACAAAAGGAAATACAGGAAGTCAATGGGAAACTGGATTAATAGTTTTCAGATTAGTATTTTAAATTCATTGGTGAGCCAGAATCAGGGGATTCCCCATCACCATTTTGTTTTATTTTTTAATTGTTCATGTGAGATATTTTAAAATACTGTTTTACAATATTAGTAAAAGCACATTTGATACTTGAAAATCAGTTGAGCAAATTTGTGTGGGTCTACTTCTGACTTTTCTGTTCTGTTCCCTTGATCTATATGTCTGTTCTTCACCAATACCACACAGTCTTGATTACTGTAGCTATTTTATGTCTTAAAATTAAGTAGAGTAATTCTTCCACTTTATTGTTATTTTTCAAAATTGCTTTATCTCTTCTAGTTCTTTTCCCTTTCCACAAAAGTTGTAGCACAATCTTTTTTACCCCTAGTGCTAGAGAACATTTTTGTGTATGCTAAGCACATCTCCAGCTCCCATGTCCTCAGTCTTACTGAGATTTTGTAGGAATTGCATTAAGTATGTAGATCAGCTTGGAGAGAATTGACACTTTACTATGTCAAGTTTTCTAATACATGTATGTTTATATCTACTTACTTAGGTCTTTTTTGACTTTTTTCCTTAGCCATTTGTGTTTTCATCCCTATACACATTTTACTGTATTCTGGGATATTTTTTGGTGTACCTTAGTAGGTGACAGTCTAGCCTTGGTCTGCTTGATACTGGCAAGTACATCTGTGCAAATACTCATGTACCTGCGCCCTCTCCTCACACACAAGATGATCCCCACCGACAGGATCTTATCTGTCTCCTCCTAAACAGGAATGCTGCTTATTTCAGTCTCTTGCCAGTGACTTCTGGTGTTCCAGAAAATGGCCTTGTGCTGCAGTGCTGAGAAGATACTCTCAAGGACCCAGTAGTGATTCCCTGAAGGCAGCAGATTTGGTTTGCACTCAGCTGGGTGGACTTTGAACCAGAGTAATGCCTCCAGGCAGGTGGTACGCTGTTCATCCAGTTCAGGCCCCCACCTCCAGGGAGCGAGGGCGCATTCGGATGGTAAAGAAGGAAGAAGAGGATGAAGGGTATACTGTGGTGCAGACTGCCAGGCCACAGACACTCAACCGTGCTGGCCAGGAGCTGTTCCGCCAGCTCTTCAGGCAGTTGCGCTACCATGAGTCTTCTGGGCCCCTAGAAACTCTGAGCCGGCTCCGGGAGCTCTGCCGCTGGTGGATGAGGCCTGATGTTCTCTCCAAGGCACAGATGCTGGAGCTGCTGGTGCTGGAGCAGTTCCTGAGCATCCTGCCTGGGGAGCTCCGGACCTGGGTGCAGATCCATGGCCCTGAGAGTGGTGAGGAGGCTGTGGCCTTGCTGGAGGAGCTGCAGAGGGACCTGGATGGGACACCACAGAGGGTAAGTGGTGCCAGTTGAACTCTGCCTGTCTGTCTGTGGCTGGGGTGGCCCTTTGAACTGTCAGCTTGAGGAATGCAGGGAGGCCTCCCCTTCTTATTCTTGTAGTACTTGAGCAGCTGAGAACTGGACCCTAAGCCACACACCCTTTAGCATGAAGCTCTTCTCACTTTCAAGAGGAACCTCAGTTCCAGGATAGGGTCAGCATATATCTATAAATCACAGTAACTAGTTTTAAAACACAGTGGTTTATAGTATAAAAGTCTTATCTCCACATATTATCTGTTTGGCTTGATACTGACTATAGCCCTGTGAAGTGGTAGGACAGAAGGGGTAACAGAGTCAGGACTTGATTTTTGAGTGGGAGAGTACAAAAGAGCAGTCTGCATGTACCATGTGGCTTCCTTTGCAAGGAGCTTTTGGGGTCTGTGTGTGTGGCGGGGCAGGTGGGATGGACATGATTTCCCTGGGGCTGGGAAATGGGACGAGTTCAGTTTTATTCAGTTTTCAAAACTTTTTATTCCACAACTTCAGTGTCCTTGGTCATGTAGTTATACCTTTCAGAGCCTGTTTTTTAAGAAGCAAATGCAGAAATGATCTAACCGTGAGAATTTGTTCAGTAAATATTTGAGTGCTTGTCATGTCCCTGGCCCTGGCCTTGGTGCTGGAAAGCAGAATGAACAGTCCTAGGCCTGGCAGTAGAGTGGTGGTGGGTGACTTTCTGCTCCTTCTGTTGCATAAGGAAATGTCCCGTATCTTCTTGATTTTTTTTTTTTAAAGGGCAGTTACCATTTTTTCTTCAAATTTTATTTATATAAAATAGGTGACTCTGCATGCGTAATTCATACATAGATAAAGGTTGTTAAAATTTCTGAAACATGGGGGGGGGGGTGGGGAGAGTGGGGAGAAATGACCCAAGCATTGTATGCACATATGAATAATAAGTAAACAAGATAAATAAAATTTCTGAAACAAATTTGACCTTGCACCCCAAATTTATTATAAAAATTAAGTAGCATTTGAACATCGTCCACGAGCTGTTTAAAAAAAAGGGAAAACATCTTTGTTTAATATTGGGTACTATTTTTAAAAATCTAAAGGAACATTCAGCGTTTTTACCAAAACGATGGGATGTTCAAAAGGACTTAATAATAATTTATGAAGTGAAATAAGGTACACAGCAGTTACAAAACTATGGCTTGCTTGTATTTAGCTCATTTAGGGATAGAGATAAGGCTTAAAAATCCATGAGAACATTGCCAAATGAGCAAAAAGGCCCTAACTGATTGAAAGATAGCTGGAAATTAGAAGACAATGGGGACTGAGAGAAAGCCCCCACATTCTGAAAAATGAGTGCTTTAAGAATAGAATCATCTAGACAGCTCAGTAAAATGATCACAGTATGAAACACTAGGGCCTGGAAATTTGTTCTTAAATTAGTTAGGGTGTGCTCCCTTACTGTTTTGCTATTCTCCTGTTACTAGGGTTTGAGGGAACTGGAGCTAATGACTGGTTAGTTCATTCTCTTTAGTCTGTTTGTCTCTGTCAGATGCTCAGTGTCCTCACCATACCATAGAGAATGTTTTGGCCAGAGGACCAGAAAAACTACACGTTCATTAGCTGTAGTCTCCTGTACTCCTTTCTATATTAAGGATGGCCTTGCCTTGGAGACCAGAGCTATGTTAAGTCCTGAGACAAAGGCCTCCTCTTTGCTTTTCTCTGCTTGGATGAGCACTGTCTGTTTCTGCACCTGAGACTTTTTTTTCTATAGTTCCCTGACTGACCCTCATGATTAGCATTGCCTCTCTAGAGGTATTACTGCTTTAGTCAGGTCTCCTGTCTGCAAGCTAGCCTTCTCTGAGGTCACTGTGCATATCTGTGCTTAGAGCCGTGCTTGACAGTACCCAATACTTCACTGTATCTCGGACCAATTCCTTCTGTAGTTTGTCAGTGCTAGGCCAGGGTAGAGGGTAAAAGGGAGGTGTTACTGTGGTATCTGAGGACTGATGACTAGTGACTTGCCAGGTGTGTCCTTATGTTGAGCAGGAACCTGTGTCCACCTGGACTCTCCCAGGCCCTCTTTATGAGCTAACAGGTAGGAGAGGCCTGCCTGGATTTTCTGTTTGCTCTTCCCCTTCTTGGAAGTAAAAAGATTCTGGAGGCTTATCCCTCAGCCTTTGACGTTTAGAAATTAGCTATGTGGCCTCTTCTCTGAGTTTGATTTTTGATTCCCACAGGGATCCTCTTACAACATTTTCTTTTTGCCAGGACCCACGCCCTGCCCAGAGCCCAGATGTGCATTGGATGGGCACAGGAGCACTGCAACCTGCACAGATATGGCCTCCTGCTTCATCTCTCAGGAGCAGCTCTGCTCTGGGGGACCACCTGGAGCCTCCCCTTGCAATAGGAGTGCATGACTTCCTGGCTGGGCAATCCGGTACTCACTGCCTGGCTCTGAGACTCCAGCCTTATGTCACACCTCCCAGATTTCCTGTACTGTCATCTTGTCACCATCTGTCCTCTCACAAGAATCTTTGTCCTTTAGATCTGTGTCTCTTTTCATCCTTCTGTGACCCATGTCTAGCTAGTTCCTCCTGCCATTGCATCTCCAATTCTCCCCATCCTGGCCCCCAATAGACACTGAGGACATGTCCTGTGGGTATTTTAACAGTCTGGGTCCAGGAGTCATCTAGGAGAAAGAGTCCTTTAGTAGGGAAAAGTGGGCTTCTCAGTGGGGTATCCAGCTCTCTCATGGCTCTTTCTTCTCCTTCAGATTCTCCTGCTGCCCAGGTACCTGACCCTCCACTGAAAGAGGACAGCCCAGGAGACCAGGTAACAGCCACCAGGTCCCTGATAGTCCAGCACTAGGTGAGTCCCAGGGCTTTTGGCTTTTCCTGGTGTCTCACATTGCTTCTTAATGGAGCAGTGCAGATCCTTTGTCCTGGGTTTTTCTGTTCGTTAATTTCATATCCAAAGACCAGATTAATCCCCCTTGAGCCTAGAACTTTCTAGTGAGTGGTCTTCCATCTTTGCTTGATCCATCCAGTACTTACTCAGAGCCAGCCCCCTCTCCCGTCCTGAAAGCTGGGTGCTGAAGACCAGCTCTAAGCCACTGTTTTTTCAGGAGGCTTTGACTTTCAAAGATGTGGAGATAACCTTCTCCCAGGATGAGTGGGGATGCCTGAATTCTGCTCAGCGGAACCTCTACCGGGATGTGATGCTGGAGAATTATAGGACCCTGGCTTCTCTGGGTAAGCCTTCAACTTTTCTGTGCTTCTATCTACTTTTACTTCTGTCTTCTTGGTTTTACGGTAATGTGTAGAAAGGAGTGGCCTGGGTTTTGATCCTGGCTCTATAACTGCTAGCTAGGTCACTTAATCTATCACCTCACTATCCTCTTTTGAAAAATGGGGATAGTAATGCCTGTCACATTAGGTTATTGCAAAGATTAAGGATATTCCAATTTCCTACTCCATTTAGGCATTCATTCAAAAAATGTTGACTGATTTACCAATTAAGCAGTTTTGGTTCCCACCTCTAGAGAATCCTTGTGATCCTTTTGCCTATGACTTTTCTCAGCCTGTCATCTTTCTGTTCGGAGCTATTATCAGAAATGGCTTCCTGGGCCACCTCCTGCCCTTGCTTCCTCCTCTTGCCTTTCTGGCCCTCCCTCCTCCCTACCAGGACCTCAGGCGAAGGACCCTAGAGAGTAGTTCCACTTGACCCACCTACCTGCCCATTCGTTTCCTTCTTTTCTGCAGTGGGACCATTCTCCAAACCTGCTCTGATCTCCTGGTTGGAAGCAAGGGAGCCGTGGGGCTTGAATGTCTGCACAGTTCAGCCTAAGAGGGATCCAGGTATTGTCCCTGCAGGTGAGTTCCAAAAACCCACCAGGTCCTGTCCCTCCTGCATCTTCTCTTTATGGTCAAGTATATCACTGGGAACTTATTCCATTGTTTGCTAGAAGGAGTTGCTAAGACCTGTTGGGTCCCTGGGCCTCTCCCCTCCTGGCTTGTCTATAATAGGCCATTTGTTTCCAGCCCTGTCCCTTCCCCAGCATCTCTCTCAATAACAGTTCTTGCCCATCAAAGGGATTCACCGTTCCTCTTTTCTACTCATTAATGCTTCTCCTCAGCCTGTGCCAGCACTTTCTTAGAGTCACCTGCCCCCAACCCCATCCTGCTCTTAGGAGGCCTCATCTCACTCCTGTTTTGCTTTAATTCTTGTTTCTGGGATAGACTTGATTTCTAGTTCTTTCAGCCAGGCGCTCCTTGGGTTTTTGGGTGCCTTTGTAAAATGCTCCTGTGCCAGGATTTTTCTTCCCCCTCTTGCTATTTAGTACTTTCTTCTTCTCAATACTTTTTGTTTCCTGCTGGATATAATTTCCACGTATCTTTAGCTGCTATGCCCATCTTGTTTCTGCTTCTCCCTTCCCTGTTGTTTGCAGTACTCATTCATGTTTTGCCTTGTTTTTGGCTGTTTTGTAAAGGTGTTGGCAATCAGGCAAGATCCTTACCACCCAAGGGTTAATGGCATTTTATGGTCCCTTGTTGCTTTCTCCAGTTCTGCATATAGAAGAGTGTATTCTCTTTTTGTAATTTTTGTCAGGAGATGAGCTCCAGATTCAGACAAGCAAGATCATCTTAAAACAGGACCCTTTGGAACATGCAGAAACCTTTGCTGTACCATCAGGATGTTCTTTGACAAGTGTTTCAGAGGGAACAGGGCTCAGAGGCTGTTTTGAACAGAAGAGCAGGTTAAAGCAGCACTGTGGAAACCCCAGACAAGTGAGAGATATGAAAAAAGAGACTGATTTCAGTCACAGGACAGGGAAAGAATCTGAAGTATCAGGAAGAAGTAATAGCCTTGACCTAAAACATGTTACATATTTGAGAGTTTCCAAGAAAAAACAATCCTTTAAACATGGCTGTGGCAGACACTTCAGAAAAAGTTCACACCATTATGACTACAAGAAATATGGGAAAGGGCTCAGACACACTATTGGAGGGTTTAGCCTCCATCAGAGAATTCATACCGAACTGAACGGGAGTGAAAAGGACATGAGGGGAAAGGGCTTCATGCTTAGCTCTCATCACCAATCCGAGCAGACTCTTTATACCATGGGGACCTTATATAAGTGTCGAGACTGTGGGAAGACCTTCAGTCGAAGCTCTCATCTTGCTGATCATCAGAGACTTCATACTCAGGAGAAACCTTTTAAATGTAGGGTGTGTGGGAAAGCCTTCAGATGGAGCTCTAACTGTATACGACATGAGAAAATTCACACTGGAGTGAAACCTTATAAATGCAGTTTATGTGAGAAAGCTTTCCAACGTGTGTCAGCCTACCGTCTGCACCAGGGAACCCATACTAAGCAGAAATTTGAATCAAGTCAGTGTGAAGAAGTTCTCACCTACAGCTCAAGGCTTGTTCATCATTTGAGAGACCAGAGTGAGGAGAAGCTCTTTGACTGCAGCCAGTGTAGGAAGTCTTTCCACTGTAAGTCCTATGTTCTCGAACATCAAAGGATTCACACACAGGAGAAACCTTACAAATGTATCAAATGTAGGAAAACCTTTCGGTGGAGGTCAAACTTTACTCGTCATGTGAGATTGCATCATGAGCAAGAGTTTTGTGAACAAAGTAAGTGTCGAGAGCACTTCAGGCAGAAGAAGTGCATTCAGCCCCAGGGTGTCCCCGCTGTGGAAAAAATATTTCCTTGTCAACATTGTGAGAAAACTTTTACACAAAAGAAAACCCTCATTGAGCACCAGAGAATTCACACAAGAGAGAAACCATACCAATGTAGTGAGTGTGGGAAAGGATTTACCTATAGATCAGCCTTTATTGTTCATAAGAAGAATCATGCCATTAAAAGAAAAGACGGGGCATCTTTTATTCAGGACAGAGCCTTTCAAGTTCCTCAAAGCAATTTCACCACAGAGGAGCCCCACAAATGTAACCAGTGTGGCAAAGCCTTCCGCAATCACTCCTTCCTTCTCATCCATCAGAGAATTCACACCAGAGAGAAGCCATATAAGTGCAGGGAGTGTGGAAAAGCCTTCAGATGGAGCTCCAATCTCTATCGACATGAGAGGCAACACAATTGGCACCAACAGACCAAGTGTCATCAAAGTGAGGAGACTCCCAATGTGCAGCCAAAAATCCTCACTGGTCAGAAACCTTTTTGGTGTGAAGAATGCGGGAAAACCTTTACACGTAAAAGAAGTCTTTTAGATCATCAGGGAATACACAGTGGAGAGAAGCGCTACAAGTGCAATCTGTGCGGGAAATCTTATGATAGAAATTATCGTCTTGTTAAGCATCAAAGAATCCATGCTACGGAGAGACCTTTTAAATGTCAGTGGTGTGGGAAAGATTTCATTGGGATACATGCCCTTTCTGTTCATCAGAGAAAACACAGAGGAAACACCAGAGCAGCACAGTCGGAACGCAGCCTGCCTGGCTTATCTTCCTGTCAGAACACAAAGTTGGATGAACAGGAATTAAAACCAAGTGGAGAGAAGCCCCGTGAAGATCGTGAGGGACCTTCTAACCAGAGCTCCATACTCACTGGACTCCAGAACCCACCCACTGAGAAAAAGGGTCACAAATGTAGCATATGTGGGAAAGCTTTTAGCAAGAGTTCACTCCTTATTAGCCACAAGAGGTTTCATACACGAGAGAGGCCTTTCAAATGCAGAGAGTGTGGGAAGACCTTCAGGTGGTCTTCAAATTTGGCCCGGCATATGAAAAACCACATTTAAGATTAGCCTGGGGCCTCCTAATGACAATGGGGTGGAGAATGGCTCCTGGCTACTCTGCTAGCAAACCTTGATTGAAGGCAGTATGAGGAAAACATTCACAAAGGGCCCAGCCCTTCCTATTTTGGAAGTGAGTGGCAAGGAATCCTGAGGATTTAAAAGCTCAGGGACTACCCAGTCCACCTGCTAGATGGTGATGCTGGAGCAGAGCAGCAAGATGTTCTTTGGCCCAGGCCCCGACGGGTAGTCCTCCACACAGCAGCTTGGGGGTCCCACAGCCAGGTCTCCTTCAACAACACTAAAGAGAAAGACCATTGTTGTTTGTGGTTGGACATCATGTCTGTGGGCTGGTTGGCTGTGGCTTCGGGAAGGAGCCACTTGCATCCTCATTTCCTCCTTAGGTTTGGCCTGTGATGGTGCCTATTCTGATGATTTTTCTGGCTGTGGCATCAGCTTCACAGCTGGCTTTTAGATGTCTACCAGGGGCTTATAGCTGTCCCAACAGCAGGTGAGGGAAGCAGAACGCTGGGCTCCATCTCTTAAGAGAATGGAGCTGTACCTCATCACCATCTCCACTTTACAGGGTCTACACAGGCAGCAGTGCTTCCCCCAGTTCAGCAGAGACATCCTGAGTACCTCCTGTGTACCAGTGCAAGAGACCTAGCAGTGACTGGAACAGACAAAAAATCTTGTCTTGGATCTTTACAGATGATAAACAAATGGGATTTGTAGTACTCTGGGTGGTGGTGTGTATTGAGGACAAAGTAAATAAGCAGGCATGCTGGATTAAGAAGTGGATTTTGATTTTAAATAGGCTGGCCTGGGAGGGCCTCAACAAAGGAGATGAAAAATAGTTGAGTAAAGACCAGAAGTAGTCTGATGGCAGTGGCTCAAGCCTGTAATCCTAGCTACTTAGGAGGCCGAGATCAGGGGGATTGTGGTTCAAGGACAGTCCAGGCAAATAGTTTGAGAGACCATCTCGAAAATACCCAATGCAAAAAAAGGACCGTCTGAGTGACTCAGGTGGTAGGTTGTCTGCTTAGCAACCATGAGGCCCTAAGTTCAAACCCCAGTACCGCAAACAAATAAAAAAGGAGGTTGGAGAGTGAGCCATGTGGATCTCTAGGAAGAGAGTTCTAGGCAGAGGAGGTAGGATCTTGTCCGGTGTCCTAAGGGGATTGTACAGGGTCTTGAGTTGAGTGGATTGAGCCAGCTGGAAGAGGAGAAAAGTGGACCAGGCCATGGGGGTGCTGGGTCCAGAGCCCTCATAGAGGTGCTGCTCACACATCAGTCAGTTGGTGCTACACCCCAAGATACCCCTCTTCTGTTCACAGCTTCCCGCCCTACTCCTTGTGCTACCTGGTATGTGCTCCAGAGGTCTTTTTACTGCTGTTTTAATAGAATAATACACTTTTTTTTTAAACATTCCAGTCAGATTTTAAAATAAAGAATGAAGTCAAAATCAACAGAAATCCTTTTACACTGAAGCTATTAATATTTGGGAATTGTGTGATGCAGTCTGTCCAATGACCTGAGTTTTCAAATTATCTTAGTTTTATAAGTAATATGTAATTATTGAAATACTGATAAAAGCCTGACTTCTAGGAATGAACTACAAAACATTTTGATGTGATCAGTGTTGAATTTGACTTCATTGCACTCCCTGAACATACCTGGACTGCTTTGCCTGTCCTTGTCTCTTTTTGTCCAGAGTGTCCCACCTCTATGTTGGCCCAAGTCTTACCTCTTCAAGACCTGGCCTGGCCTGGCCCTCATCCTTAAACCTGCTCCCCAGGCCCCTTCTCTCCTGAGGCCCATGCCTTGCTCTGTAAATATCCTCTGGGTTCCCAGTTACACCTGTCACCACAGCCTAACCAAGCATTCTGGGAGGCCAGGGGTGGGTGCTCACTTACCTTTTTGCCATGCAGAGGAGATTCAGCACTAAATTGCCTCTCTTAAGGAATCTAGAACCAACTTTAGTTCAGTCACATCAGGGTTGGGGGCAGTTCTTTTTAAGAGGCCTTGAGTGAAATGTTGACCAGAAGTCATCCACAAGTATCCACTCGCTGGTTAGAACCTGGCCATGGATGGTTCCGAGTCACAGGGCTCCAGTTGACAGCTTCTGTCAACTGGATTGGACTGGAGGACATGTGGGCTTCTTTCAGCCTTCTCCATTCCCTTGGAGGAACTGAAGTTGGGCATGGGGAGAGCCAGGTGGACTGGGGCCGTTACAGAGAGGAGTGGATATCAGACAGCCTTTGAGTCACCTGTTCATTGTGGTCATCCCCACCTTTGCTGATAGAGACTAGCAGACCAGGCAGAGGTATGTGCAGAAAAGAAAGCTGGAGAAATGCAAAATAATAATAACTCATATATAATGGGTTTTTGCAAGCCCATGTGGCTAAGTGTGTGGGACAACTGGAATTCACACTGCTTTGTGAATGGAAATTGTGACAACTACTGTGCCAAGCAATTTTCAGTGTCTTGTAAAGTTGTGAGTACTGGCCAAGCATTTTCCCTCCTGGGTAGATCTTAGAGGAACTCTGTGAAGAGATGAGACAAGACAAGCCTTCATTGCAGCACTGTTTAGATAGTGGGATTGGAAGAAGCCTGCATTGTCATCAATGGGTAACAAGTGGGTTGCTGTTTGGAAAGTACTTAAGTGAATGTGAAGCCGGGTGTGGTGGTACACACCTATGATCCTAGCACTTCTGAGGGTAAATTAGGAGGATTGTGTTTTCAAGGCCAGCTTGGGCTACATAGCAAGACCTTGTCTCAAAAAAAAAAAAAAAACTTTCAAAACCAAAACCATACTGAGAAAATTGTAGAAACTGTGTATAGTATACATTAGTATAAAGTTGCGTGTCCATGGGCATATCACTTTCATTGATTTGTGTCTCACTTTTTCTGTAAATGGAATGGTAGAACAAACCTCCCAGGATGATTGGGTGGGGTGGGGGGGCACTTAATGAAATAATGCATGTAAAGTGTTTAGAATAGTGGCTGGCATGTAAGCATTCTTGGTATATAATAGTGTAATGTTTTGCCCACTTGTGCAGATTCAAATGATACGAAATAAGAATGAATGGGCTGATGTGTGCAGGTCTCTGCTCACCTTCCCAGGGCAGGAGTGTTGGTGGAATCAGTAGGGTGCACAGGAGCTTTATTTGTGTTTTCTTTCTAAAAATCAGTGCAGATGCATCAGAAAATTAACAACATAATATGATGGGTTCTTTTAAACTCTTTTCTTTAAAATATGTCAAAATAAAAAATATTTAAGCATTGACTCTGACATCTTGTGATTATATAGAAATCCCAGCTCTGCCACTGAATTTCTTAAGACTTGGTGGTCTTCATCTCCAAAACGGGGAACAGCAGGAGTAGCTGTTAGCAGAATTGTGGCTCAGCATTTCTGTGGCTGATGGAGTCCATGAAGGAGTTTAAGAAATGATGGATTTCCCTGTCTACTCAGTTGATCCCCAAGACACACAGCTTCCCGGAAATTTCAAGCTCAGTTTTCTTTAATTTCTGCTTGCTAAAAATAGCATGTGAAGGCAGAAGCTGTAGACTCATAATTCTGATGAGGAAGTGGGACTTGAGAACAGGGATGCTTGTCAGGCATTCTATTTTCTCAGATGAATAAAGAACACCAGCCACCACATCTTTTAAGTTAATGCTACTCTTCTAAGAATGGCAACATTTTGTATCAGCCACTGCCTTGTCAGGAGCTGGAAACCATGCCAAGTATTTGAACAAAGACAACTTGGAAATTGTTGACTAGGTATATTTAAAGAGGCAAAAAGAATGACAGAAACTTCCACAGCAGAAACTGCCAGGAGCAGTTATATAGGGGAGCTATAATAGAATCTGTCCCCATTTTTGATGTGTGGTGGCTGACAGCTTCAAACCCTCCCCCTCAGACTGTCTCACACCTGAGCAGGCTAAAAGCTCAGGCACTACACCCTCAGTGCCAGAGGGAAAATTCAAACCGCAGAGCTTGGTTCCCAGTGCCGAGTCATTTTGTAACCATGATCACCACAGCCAGTTTCCCCTCTGGCTCAAGCCAAGCCTGCCTGGCTTGGTGCCTGCTCTGCCTTTGTCCAGAAACCTCAGTTGTGAACAGTAAACCTTTTTATAACCTGCTGTGCAGTGTCATTGGTCTCAACATCTGAACCAGTTTTGGGTGGTGGTAATGTTGGATCCTATACTACCAAAACCACAAAGCAGGAAGAGAGAGAAGAGATGGTTAGAATTTTCATAAGGCTGAAAATGGGCAGAGGGGTCTTGTGAACTGAACTTGGATCTGTGAGGAGGGGCTTACTGTGGATGATGGTAGTGTCCCACTTCAGGGTTGAGGCCCTGGCTTTTTGCACCTATTTTTCTGTAGAGGGGGCAGCCATTGATGCTGGGTGTCATGGGAAAGGAGGAAAGGGGATGTCACAGCGAGACTGAGGTTCGTGTTTCAAAACACTGGTGACACCTCCCAGGGCCTACTCCCACTTCCCCTTTTGCTTTTAAACCTACAGTCAGATTCAGGTCCCAGTAGGATTCAAAGGGTGTGATATAGTTTGAGGAGACAGCACACACCCCAAGCTGCATCATTTGCTGGTTTTCACTGACCAACCTGTCAGGATGGGTCTTATGGTTGAAAGAATATAAATCAGATTGGTTAAAATTTATCGATTTGGGCTTGCTGAGCAGAGATTTGAGGTTCATTGTTTTGAGAAGCTAAGAATAGCTCTAACAGCTTGTTGCTTGTTTGCCATATAGACCCACAGCTAGTCTACTTATACCAAATAAGTTGAAATGCTAGAATATCCTTTCTATACTGTAGAGGAAGACACCTAAATGCTTAGGGAGATTGGAATGCTTAGGTGCGTTTGCCATGTACCACTTAGACAGGCATAGAGGCTATATGTAAGGTGTAGGGTTTGAAAGAAACAGTCACCCTGACTGACAACGTGGTTGTGGCAATCAGCAGTTTCCTGAGGTGTGAAAAATAAGCTTTTCAAGAAGCTTTCTCTCCTGAACCCCAAGGGTGATTTTCTCTAAGGTAGAGCATGTGCACAAAAAGAAACCCTTGGAGGCATGGCTCAAGTTGTAGATCACCTGCTTTGCAATCATGAAGCCCTGAGTTCAAACTCCAGTATGACCAAAAAACCCTTGCCCCAAAATAACTTTTGCTTTGTTACCTGTAAAATTCAGGGCTGGTGATGTGGCTCAAGTGATAAGAGTGCTTGCCTAGCAAGTGCAAGCAAGGCCCTGAGGTCCAATCCCAACACTGCCAAGGAAAATTCAGACCTCTAGGAGGTTTTAATAGAAAACAAATATGTGCTTTGGCGGCTACATGTTAGGAGAAATTAAGTCAGAATTGGGCGGTCGGCCTTTCTTGCCTCCTCCTTGCCTAGTGGGCCCCTCTCATCAAGACCAGAAGCTAGGTTTTGTTTAAGGTTGCTTCATACCAATGTCTGACTTATGCCAAAAGTAGTCTCATTGCTTCAAGGGCAACTCTAGCAGGCATTAACATTTTTGTTCACAGTTTGAAATAAAGGAAGCGAGGTTTATTTTGGCTCCTGCCCAGGAAGCTGGGAAGTCCACAGAGCTTGGCACCAGAATCTACTTAGCTTCTGGTGAGGGTCTTCGCTGCTCAGCTCATGGTAGAAAGTTAGGAGGTGCCTTCTCACCCACCTCCCAACACTGCCACCTTCATTAAGGAACCATGCCACAGCAGGAGTTTTGGCGGGGACAAACCATAGCACCCTCTATAACAAGTGGGCCTCATTCCAATCAGCTAAAGTCCTGAATAGAACAAAAAGTCTGACCTCCCCTGAGCAAGAGAAGTTCTCTAGCATACTATCTTCAGATTTCATAACATTGGCCTTTCCTGGCTCTTTGGTAGATGGCCTTTGGACTCAAGTGCAATATTGTCTCTCCTGGGCCTCCAGCTTATTGGCCACCCTCAGATTTTGGACTTGCCAG